TCATATTTATTTTCAGTGTGCTTGATGCAAGATGGCAAAAACAGAATTAGGTCAGCAGTCATAGAATATGTACATATAAAAAAATATTTTATTTAAATACAAAATGTTTTTTATTTAAATTTCTTAATTTGAGCAGATGTAAACAAGTAATGCTTGTTGTGCAGCAAAATATGACTTATGTAACTTATTTTATTTTTATTTTTATTTTCAATATTCTGTGCTAGCAGATGGAGTGGCTGGGTTCAATAAAGACATCCACAAGAAGCTGTGATGTGTTTTGATGTTTAATTGTGTAGGATACCAAGTGTTTGCTGGCAACACCACAAATCAACCGATACCTGCTTGTGCTTGCTTATTGCTCAGCTATGCAGGGTTAATGACAAGTGAAAGCGGAAAAAAAATCTTTAACAAATTGACAAGAATGATCTTCAAGAGCTTTGTAACATGTTGAGAATATGCTCTTACATGTGCTGCAGTCGGGTGAGTCACATCACTGTCACAATCAATGGAGGGCAATGACCGTTGAAACTGTGTATCTCATATAATCTCTGTAAAACGAGAAATACTCCTTGTGACTTTTGCTTTTCTAGAACCGGCAAAAGTCAAACCACAAAAATGCCGGAAATGCCATGTGGAAATTAGATTAAGGGTTAGATTGTGAGATTGATAAGGTTTTCTCGTTCTGTCTTTGGCTATGCTTATGGTTTAACCACAGCAAGATTTCTCAATTTTGGTGAGGGCAAGTGTTAAGTGATTTCCTGCTCATCGTTAATGTCTTTGAACATATCTTTTGTTACTTTGCTAAAATCATTACTAGCTCTGGTTCTTTGACATTGTGTGTTCTTGTACAAGTATTCCATATTGATTTTGTAACTACAGTCAGTAAAATGTTTTGAGAGGAGGCCTGTAAATCAGCAGATTCTCATGCTGGAGTAACATCATGGGACATTTTGTGTGTAGAACAGCCAGTCATTAAACAAGACTTAACACTTATAAAAATGACAGAAAGTTCAAATAAATGCCTAAAAACTTAGTGTCAAATTACAAAGAACAAAACAACCTGAACCACTGAAAACAAAAAGTTTTTAACATCTAAAGCAGATACTGCTGAAGATTGAAAGAGTATTTGAGAGATTCTATTGCCCCTAATCTCAATACTGACTCTCATCCCTTCACTTTGGCAAAGACCCAGATGTGAAATTAACACAAGATGTTGGTAGATTTAAAATTTCGCAGAGATCTCTGGGAATATGTTTCAGTAGCAGTGGGGCATATCTCAGACACAATGGTGAGAGAGGCTAAAGGTTACTAAACTCACTTTCCCAGTATGTAGAAACACAGTAAGAGACACAGGAACACATAAACACACACAAGGGGGTTGGGTTTAATAAAGTTCTTGATTTCCACTGAGAGAAGATTGGGCTTGGAGGACAAGTGTGGGAACAGCTAGAAAGGTATTTAAATTGTGAAATCATGTTGGAGATCATACACCAGGATATACACGTTTTTGTTTTTTTTTTTCTTTCTCCGTGCAGTATATGTTTTGCAGTGATTCCAGATCCATCTGTGCATACTGAGCGTGATGTGTCTGAAACCAAACCGGGCTGTTTTCTCCTCTGTGTCCGTCCCTAGTGGGACAATAGCTGAATTCTGTATAGCGAGACCGTGGGTGGAAGGAGACAGAAGAGTCAATGAGTGAAGAGGCTTCTGGGGTGCGTCAGCACAAGGCCATGATGAGGGTGTAGGAGGATGAACTATCTAATGGGCAGAGCAACGGCTATTCAGTTACCTCACAGGACAACATGCATGCATGGATGTGACTAACTTTAACAAAAGTGCAGATGATATTAAGAAACTAATTTATTTTCTATGTCACATATGGACACCCAGGCAGACGGCCACAATCGGTGATCTTTGTGAAGGTTTTCACTGTGACTTGGGGGGTGGGGGAGGTGGGGGGGGGGCAGATGAAATAATGTTTTGAATATGTCAAAAGGTGATGCTCACCTAATTAATAGACTGCCTGTGATTCATACTGTTTTTTTGCAAGCATTACAAAGCACTGCTGATGATGTTGTAACATGTCATAATTATTTACTGTCAATGCAAAACGTGTCACGTATATTAATATAATTTATATTTCATCCAAACTTTTGTATGTTCAAACATTAACTTAATAGATTCTGGGCTATGTCTTCATTGACCAAGTTCCTTGCATACAGAACATTTATAGAAATGGCATATTTAAAGCCTTAAACACACACATTAAAAGTGTAACACAGACAAATTTAACAAACAAGACAGGATTCATAATTCAGGAAGAGTCCTCAATTACTAAATCAACTGTTGGTAAGAGGGTGTGTCTGGCTTCAGATGAAAGGGAATTTGTTCCATCAAGCAATAATGGATAATTGGAAACTTACGAGATCAAATCGTAATTTCCCAATTATCCGTCAAGATAATTGGGAATTACCCATTGGGAACAAACAAGGTCTTAATGTACATCTTTCACCATTTGCAGAGTAAGACATTAGGAAAATGTTTGAGAAGTCTGGGAAAATCCAAGAGTGTAAAAACCAAGACCGGAAACCAGAGTGAGGGAACCATGCAACTGTCAAGGTTAGATCTCCAGAGGTTTGTGTTTATTCTGTTTTGCACAAATTGCAGCAGGCTGTCTTAGATGAAATGTGCTTGCTGTTGACAAGCCTGCTTGCAGTCCATACCTGTCCAATTTTTAACAACTTATTGTGCATCAAAAAGGGAGAAATCTGACAAAATCCAGCATTTGTTTCTTTAAAACCCTTGCAAAAAATGTTCTGCACAGATTGCAAAGGATTTTGAACAGAATGTAAAAGGTAAAGCAATATATAATAGATAATAGATTTTATTCTTGGACAAGAACATTTTTATTAGTTATTGAGATTGACAGTAAAATTGGGGCTTCACAAGCACCTTTGTGCATCTGGTGTTTCACATCTTATTAGACAAAATGATTTTGCATTGTACCTTGAATAAAGAAAAAAAGTTAAAATATTTTTGGAAACTGCTCATTCAAGACATTTCCTCTGTATTTCAGTGTTGATTTCTACTTGAAAAGATAAACTTTTACCATTTCTGAGAAAAATAGTCAAGAAGGAGTTCTATGATGTTCACATACGCCAGAGTAGACAGCAGGAATTGGGGTTAGTCCTGCAACTACATGAGCAAACGCTGTCCAATTTGAGCTCTAACCAGTTTTTACATTCTGGGAAATGGAGTTCTCTTAAAGACAAACAACAGATACATGTTTCTGAAGTTCAGAGAAGTAAGAATACTTAGAATATTGTGAACAACTTGTGTCGCTTGACGTAATAGTTATGAGTGTGTGGACACTCTCTGTCTTGAAACATTTTGTGCCATGGAAAAACTTGTCCAACCACTTGACTGCTATGTCATTCAGAAAATTATTGACAGACTAAAAGGTGTTGTCTGTCAAACAAAGAGTTTTTTTTATGTGTTGTCTAGATTGCATGTCGCTTCATCTATGTGGTATTCCTTTATTCATTGTTACAATGAGAAATTCCCCATTAACTGCTTGAAATCCTGGGCACAAGCACAAAAAAAATACTGCACCTTAAGATAACTGCCTCTTGCAGACAACTTATTGTCTCTGGATTATAAACATCTTTAAAGGGGTTTTAAAGTACTCTAATAAATGCAGCTGAGAAAAAATAATGTATATTAGATTCTATCCAAAAATTTTGCCTAAAACACATTCAAATTTATACACAAATGACATCTGCAGAAGCCCCTGTGTTTAAAATGCCTTAAATATGAGAATATGGTTGCACTCTTGACCTCTTCTCCACCCTCTCAGTCAAAGTACTCAACCCTCTTCAGCCTTTCTCGCCCCTTAACCAACCACTGAGCGGGGTGCAGGGCCATAGTTCAATATCTGGGGTTTCCCCTTTCAGAGGCTTGATAACAAGGACAGAGGCGGTTTTGACAGTGACCGTCTTGTACGCACGGCCAAACACACACAAGCACCCATGCATGCTGGTGGACGTCTGAAAGGGAACAATGTTCGCTCGGGTTTGAAGTCAACCCCATGGGGTCAAAACTCTTTAGCGGTAAGAGAGCCTTCTCATGTCTTTTACTGGTTTTCCTTTCAAGGCTAATTTGAAACCCATAAAGTTTCTGATTGTTCAACTCGATATATCTTAATTTTTCAGATGAAACAATACATTTAATCTTCCCAGCAAGAATAAAAAGCGGTGACAATGACACACAATCCCTCCTTTCTTTTTTTTTTTTTCTTTTTTTTTTTTCCTTTGTTGGGTGGCATGGTTGGGATATCTGAGTGTTCAGCGCTAGGGGCTCTGACAATGATACGGTTCAGGTCGAGGGGAAGCCATGAAAGGGAAGACGCGCACAAAACCAGAAAGACTGTGCAGAAACACGTCCAAGACATTATGATAAGACTTATATATTCGTAAACAAGAAAGTCAGAGAAGTGTTGCGATACCAGAGCAGAGGGAGTCTGCTGAATGCAGGGTGTGGCTGGCAGCTACTAGGGTGATGGGATATCACAGTCGCCCGTTTTGACAGTTTTCTTTGCTTTCTTCACATTGTCCGCCAATGACAAGTAGCAGAACTAAATAAATTCCTGACTCCACCAGACCATCAAACTTCTTTTCTTGTACGTGCTTGCGTGTGAAAATAAACTTGTTTTTAGGCACGCGTAATTTTACAAATTCAACTCTCAGGAGTTAAACGGCGTGGGAATTTTATCAAAGTGTTTGAGAATCGGTTTTATTGACTTTCACTCCTTCGAAATGTTAGTGGTTAATTACTTATATTCAAACTTTTGCAGAAGGTTATCTCAAGGAAGTTGTCAGAAGGGACCCTATAGCGACAGGACTGGTTAAAAGCATTTGCGCGTCAGAAAGAGTCGCACAGAGGAAGGAGTGAAATGAAAGGAATACATGAATGACACCAGCACTAGGACCTGCAGGGAGGAGACTCTCACTAAAGATCACCACAGACTGTGGGAGGCACACACAGACTGAAGTGGATGGCCCAAGACCTGGATGCAGAAGCGGGATTTTGATTTTGGGATAATTCTTCTGCAGCTCTGGGGGGGAAAAAAGTGAAGAGGAATATAACTGACTTACTTTTCAACTTTTATCCAACAGTGGAGAGAGGAGAAGGAGCATTATTGACGTGGTGAGTTTTGCTCTTCTGATTTGGGAGCTGAGGTAAAACCTGAGGAGCGTGCATGGCGTGTATTTTTAAAGACTCTTTTCCTTTTTTTTTCTTTTCCTCCTTTACCTGCTTCTTAGTGAGAGTGAAGCCCTCTTGGTAAGGCTGAGGTTAAGCAGCAGGCAGTTAGTCCTGCTTGCTGGGGAGAAAATTCCAGCTGGAAACAGCACACAGGAGGTGCCATAAAAAACAAAACAAAAAAGTTTTACAAGATAACACTGCTAATGTTTGTGGTGCCATGTGCTGTCAGCAATTTTGCGTCACACACAATCATTTTCTGGGTTTATTTAGAGGGCGAGAGGGGAGGACCGGGTCGAGCTTCAGCAGAGCAGAGAGAACAGAAATGAAGATTAGAGAAGAAAAAGAAAAGCAAAAAAAAACAAAAAAAAAAAAAACGGGGTTCTCCAAACTTCAATGGGAAGTCATTTACTGCTCAGTAAACTCCTGGGACATCAGGTTACCTTGTCCCCCCACCCCTCCCTACCTCTTTTTTTTTCTATCTGTCTTTCTTTCCCACTCATGTTACACAACCCTCAAAAGACTTGTAGATTCTGATGAGCTCCAGTGTCTAACATGAAGTTACGGAGGTTATCTGAGGGAGGAGCCTGGTGCTTGTATGGGCGTGCCTTTGAACTTTTTTATTATTATTATTCTACAGTTTTTCTATATCCAGAGTTGTATTTTTAAGTTTCAAGGCAAGTTTTGTGAATTTAACACAGACTCTACGCCTGCCACTCCTACATGGAATTCTTTCCGGGCTTTGACAAAGCAGGAATGTCATGACGAACAAACATTTACTCACACAAACCAACATTAGACATCGATTTAGCCGTAACCCGAAAGGTGAAGTTGATTTTGTTTTGAATTAAATATCAACATCAAAAAACAAATGTGATACTAAAAAAAAAAAAAAAAAAAAAAAGGATTTTTTTCTTTTTTTTTTCCCCAAAATAAATTTTTTTTGTGCTC